GGGGGGGGAAAGAAGAAAAATGAAGTGAAAGGTGAAAGTTAATATTTTGGTAACAACATAAAAAACAAGAGAAGGAAGTATAGAATGCAAGGCTTGTGGGAGAAAATAATACAAAATATGGGTGCTAGTCACACATAAAATAAGGGGCAGAATCTCAAAATATTTAGTGTGTGTTTTTTGCAGCATCAAAATTTGTTTGTTTTTTAGAGAAAATAGTGCAAATTACGCTTTGCAAAAGTTTCAGTATAAATAGATTTTGAGTTAATTACTTTAAAAAAAATATGGTGAATTGGCTAGTGTGATTCCAGGAGTGTTTGAAGATGAGATTTAAAGGAGAAGTTTCTGAAGGTATGAAAAGTTTTCATTTAATTACCATGGGAAGAAGCAATAGCAAGGGCAGGAACTACCAAGGTCTTTGCTGTGGGGGCCTGGTTGAGTGGGTTTTCATTTCCAGTTTTTATATTTGTACAGGTCACTCTCCTGACTGACATTTCCATTGCTGCATTTACATTCATAAAATTTAGCAACTTAAAAAATCACCTTATCTGAAACAAGACATTTCAAACTTAAAGCATAATAACCATTGTATATTTTTAAATATAAATTTCATTTTTTTGTTAAATTTATCTTTTATAAGTAAAACCACTGTGTGATGTAGCATTATACTATGCAGAATGCTCATGAATGCTCACTGGAAAGCCACTTTTCACACATACTGGTTCAGCATGAATTCAGTCATTCAAGATTCATAAGTATTGCTCTTTAGTTCCTATTCAATCTTAATCATTTCAGAAAATAAGAAATTGTCTTGTAAAGAAAAGCTTGTATTCATTATTTAAGCCTTTTTATTATGCACAACCATGTTATTTGTTTTCCAGCTTATTTTGTCTCCAACAGACACACACAATTCTGAATAAAAACAAATAGGTGACCTAATAAAATTTATTCACTTCCATTACATTGCACAAAAAATCTTATAATTAGATTAATTCAAAGCATATAACCAAACAGAATGTCCTGGTTTAAGAACTTCAAGTTTAGAAATTTATATTCCATAAAAATATGGAGATTTACTGCATATAGATTGCCAAAAAAGAAAATCTCAGCTTTCAGATATATTTATGGTTTTATTGGCTTTACAAGTTTGAAATTTTAAAACATTTGCATTATTCGACTTTTACAGTTTATTACATCAGTTTCAAAGATACACTGTTCTCAAATTTTAAAAGCTAGAAATAAGCTACAAACATACAAAGATCACATATTTGTAGCAATGTTTTATGTACTGACATTTTTTATCTGTGCAGGCAGGAAGTTTAAATACTCTATTCTCCAAATTCAGTTTACGGAAAAAAGTAAATTATGGTTATTAATATCCTTTGTATTCAATTAGTCAAAACAAATGTCAATGAAATTTATATCGAAACAAAATTCTAAATTAGAACATTTTAGCTATAGTCTTATTTTGTATGTGATTTTAGGGTAGAGGTCAGAGAGAAATTTTAAAAGTTTTCATTTTTAGTCATACCTATAAAAAGAAGACACTGGGCTGGAAAGGTTTAACAAGATTTTAATTTGAATTCTGATGGCAAACAATGTTTTAGTTCTTCAACATAGTTGGGTTTTGCTTTGGATTTGTATCTTACTTTTAGAATTAGTTCTTATCATGGTTTAATGCTCTTATTTTACTCTATTAGTCAGTAGTAACTCTTTGGTTTCAATTTTTGTCTTGCAGCATTTGTGTTTTAGGAGATCGGCTCTTGTCAAGCATGAGCAACGCTGTTTGTTCAAAGGAGAAGAATGTTACAGGGTCTCTGTACAATATTTATTGTCATTCTCTAAATGAAACATATGAAGAATGTGATCCATACTTCATGGAGCATGAGGTGCATGTAGTGCAGGCTATTCCAGGTTTAGCAAGTGGTGTTTTCAAAGGTAAGAATTGATGCAGTTTCTGTACTATGCCTACTTCTAATTTGATTATTTCAGAGTAGGTCCTTCTTGGAGAAATACAAAGGGTTGATTACATTATATAAAAATTATTCTTAATATGTAAATCAGCACGCCACTTGAGAACAACAGCTGATATAAAGTGGTAAAGTGGAATGTACTGAAACTACATTTTGACATATTTTGTCATCTTATAAGTGGTGTGATGCCACCAAAAGTTCATAGCTTTTTGGAAGAGGTATGTAACAGTTCTTTCCAATGCAAAAGATTCACACACTCACATTATGAAGATGTGGATATGGAATTTAGAAGCATGCAGAAAGGAGTTGTGTGCTTTGGACATGATAGCCTTATGGTGGAACCTTTTGCAATGGAAACTACACTACAGTGCTATTTCTTAAGATAAATGATTATCAGATAGAGCATGACTGGAAATGGACTGAAATGACATGGTGAGTCTTCAATATCTTTATAATATAATGTACTCAACCTCTGTATTAGAAAAAAATAAACTGTTAATAATCTATGTATCCACACAATTCATATTTAGTTTTTAGTTGTTGTTTTTTCTGTATATTAAAAAATCTGTAGTACTTGTACTGTAAACCTTGCAATTGATAAAAGTTTTTAATTGCTGGAAGTTATACAATTTTTATGCAATCTTCAGAATGAATTATTTTATAACATGAAGAGGAATATTTCTCATGAAACTGACTCTATAGATGTTGATAAAGTAGGCTTTAATCTTTTTAAAAGTCATTTTTCTTGATATTTTTTCTATTTTTTTGTTTTCCTAAAGTAAATTTCATTTACTGTATGAAATATAGAACCATAAGCTACCTGAAAAAAAAATGCTCAAACATATCTAGTTGAACAATAAAATCACAAGACAAGGTAGGACAAAAAGACAAACACGTATAAAACATCAGATTAATCTTATTTATTAAGAACAAATGCTGACAAAGCATTACTATTTGGTGCTACATTACATTATAAGGAGCTATGATCTAAGAAAATGTTTTGCCTTCGGTGAGATACTTTTAGTTTGAACTTAGGTTTACTTGAAAAACATAATGGTGACTTTGGTAAAACTAAGTTGTATGTTTTATAGAGCTGTACTATTGAGAAATCTGACAGTTAGAAAAATCACATCTGGATCATATAATTTTCTTCAGATTATTCAGCATAACTAAAGCAATCTATTGTTCCTAATATTGGAACCTGTAATCATGCTTTAACTGGTTTTTTAGTTGAACATCTGAAGAAGTTTACCACTAATGAATACTCTTTAAAGAATATTTTTGAATTCTCTCATGAAATACAACAGTCGAAGTTTAATAGTATTGTGCACTGTGCTAGTTTGGATGTTGAATCATTGTATATAAATACACTGTTGGAAGAAACCATACAGCTACATGCCAATATGATTTATAGCAATGTTTCCAACAATGTGATCATTCCAAAACCAGTTTTTCTGAACTTTGCAGTTAAAGATACTCACTTTCGTCTGAATGGAAAGCTTTATAATCAGATCAGTGGTGTTGCTATGGCTTCAAGATTGGCACCATCTTTTGCCAAGTTATTTTAATTTTATGTTTGAATGAAAAACAGTGGCTGCAAAATTGCCTGAAACAGTTTAAACCTATCTACTAATTGAAAGCAATGAAATATATTTACCAAATCTTTTAATATATTTGTGTTGTGATTGTTAATAAGACACAGAAATTACTGACTAATATAAGTTAACCTGTAATATGTTATTCTTTCACATGATCATCTTATGTTCTATCATTGATAAGGCTTATGAAATATGTTATTATTGCACTCTGTGCTTTAAAACAGTTTCTCATTCTTTCTTGTGTAAAGCACAATATGTTCATAGTTTAATTTACAAACATTATTTGTATGCTGTTTTCAGCTCAACATCAGAATGTATAAAGATTCTCTACAACTGTATGTTTTTCACATAGGTCCTCACTTGTATATTTAAATATGGTTAAATTCCAGCATTAAGTGGTTTCTGTTGATCATTTAAATGCAAGTTGATTAGTTGTATATGTTTGTCAATACTTTTGTGTTTGATTTATAAATGTAGAAAATGTTTAATGTGAATTTTCTAATCAGTCTGAAAGTATCATTTTGAGCACTTTTTATGTTGTTAACAGAATATCATTTTATTCTACAAAGATAACTTGTTAGCTTACTATCGCCACAAAGGAGATTTGGTTTCTAGGACAACTGAACGGGAAGCTGCCAGCTCATATGGGCAGAACACGTACAACCAGGTTTTGGTGGATATAACAACTACTTTTACTTTGTTTGTGGCCATTTTCTTCCCATCTTGCACAGGTTAGTGAAAATTTGTTATGTCAGAGTTAAATTTTTAACTAGCTGTGTGAAATACCTATTTTGATATGGTTTATGATTTTTATCAGCTTGAGATACTTGGAATTAAGCATTTATTAAAACTTTTTTTTTAATTCAGAATTAGTAATTTGATTTACAGTTAAGGTTTCAGGCAAATCAATTCTGAAACTTTTGTAAAAATGTATAATTATCTACGTTTGCACTCATGCAACTTTGGCTACTCTGTGTAAAAATATAAATAAATAAAAAACACCAGTGTATAAGTGTTTAGTGTAATGTTTCCTTATCTAACAATTGTAGGATTATTGTTAAGATCTAACTACTGTGTTTATAGAATAATGTACTTCTCACCAGACAAGTGTTTTTATAGCAGGGTTTAAGTGTTGCATGTAGTGTGTTTAGCAGAACATAGTTCTCATCATACAATTCTTTTTATGATTGTAGGATCCAACCGGTAGATATAATGTATTTGCAAAAAAAACTACCATCCTATCTTACCAGACAATTCTGTTTTCAATTATAGGATCTGACTGAGGCATGTATTGTGTATACAAATTAACATACAGCACCAAACATTTTTTAAAATAATTATGATATGATCTAACTACAGGGTTTTTATATTACAAGTCCAGTTGAACTAGTGAAAGTTAAAACTATTTGTCGTGAACAGCAGTTACTTATTCTGACCACTAAAAAAGATAAGTTATGTTTTTGAATTTTTTTTCCATGTTACTTTCCCAGTAATAGTAAGAGCTCACAATTTAGTTTCAAAAACATCTTGAGTTGTGTAGTGTTCTAACAGATATTTCTGGTGAGAGAGACAATACACATTCCAAAGAGTATTTGTTTTAATACCAGGATATGCAATCGTGAGCATATAGATTACCGATTTGAGGAACTATGTACAGAATAAGGATTAAACCCTTATTATATTATTATAAAGAGTATAGGTAGACTGGTAGTCAAAAACAGAAGGATAAGGCTTATGACACATAGCTATAGTAAGACCATAGTAAGCTAAAATATCTTCAACAGTAACAACAGTCCATTTTACAGTCTTTTTTTTGAAAATTTAGATCCATTCTGGTGTTTATCATGAGTGTATCTTTTTATTTTGGTTATAATTAATTGTAATACTTCCACTGTAAAAAAAATAGACCAAAAAAATCAAAAACATTTTTAGAAAAGGTAACCTATCAGTAAAAAGGTTTGCCTCTGTGAAAAGTGGATGGCTGAATTTGTTCCCCTTCAGTAACCCCTACCTAAGGCCAGGTATCATTACAGGAAAGAGGTCTCTCCTTGCTGGGAAGGAACAGTCCTAGTTTTGGCTCCAGCTTCCCCTACTCTTCATTACCCTGCCTCTTCTCTTTGTTGGTGGTTCACAACATGAGGTATCTGGCCTAGGTGATTCAGGAATATCTTCATCTGATGAAGGTCTTTCACCAGCTACATCTTTATCTGTTCATAGAACAGGATCAAGAAGAGCAGGTTCAATATTTTTGGGCCATTTACTTTTCTACGTGGCTTCTGTAAGAGGCATTGAAAGAGTAGAATCAAATTCTTCAACTTTAGATTCCTCTGCAAGTCCTCCTTCATCAGATGAAAATGAAACACTTAGGAGGAACTCTGCTTCCTCTTGAGTGAAGACTTTTGTCTTCCTCAGTTCTTGTGCTCATTGTTTTTCAAATTCCATTTATAGAAGGAAAAAATGTCATTCATATATATTACATATATTGTGTATCATTACATTTCTTTTGTTTTTTGTACCATTAAATATTGATATTGCATGTATTCTGTGATGTGTATCATTTCTTTACAGGTACATATATTCTCTTATATGCATAACAGGTTTCAGTAGCAGTAAATGTTATGCTAAAATACAGAAACAGCTACATTAGATTTTGATGAACTATATATATCAAACTATTGAACAGAGATTCTATATGTTATAAATAATGTTCACTTACTTGTAAGTCATAATTGCTAAATACATTGACTAGCATAAGAAACAAACTTATCAAGAACAATAATTTACTAATAAGAAAAACATATTACATGTCTGTTACAATATATTCTGTGATGTGTATCATAAGTTTCAGGAACTGTAGATGTTATGCTAAAATAAAGAAACATCTACACTAGATTTTGATCAACAACTATTTATCAAACTAATGAACAGAGATTTCATATAAATTATAAATAATGCTTACTTGTAGGTAGTAGGAGGTACACACAGACTATTTATCAAACTAATCAACAGAGATTTTATATAAATTATAAATAATGCTTGCTTAGTTGTAGGTAGTAGGAGGTACACACAGACAAACTAAAAATGGCTGATAAAACATAGGATGCAAAATCAGAAATGCTAGCTAACACAAAATGGACAATTCTTATATTACTAGAGGCTGGTTATTTATTTATTGATGTGTAAGCATCGACAAGTAGGAAATAGGATGTTTATAAGCACCTATACTAATTACTCTGTACACTTGTACTGCTAAATTTTGCTCACCCCTGGAGTTTTGAAAGCTAACACCCATTTATTTTCAGAATTTATGGGATCAGATTGGAGCCATATCATAACCATTTACACACATTCAAAGTGCAATTCTATAAGTCTGAGCAATTCTCATTGCAAGCACAGTCATTTAAACAAGCAAATAAATTCTATGTTATGTTTTCGGAGCAGGGGATAAGTGGTTTTGGAAATATCTGTTTGTTTGCTCATGGAAGTATCTCATTATGGTCCATAAAAACAATAATTGCACCAGTGGTAGATTATTACCTTGTGTTCAGCAAGTTTCTAAGTTTGTTGCTAATAATAAGATAAATAGAGGAAATAGATGTGAAAAGGTCAGAAGTAGAAACTTTGGAACTTCATGATCATTATTAACGATACTACACATTTGATTTTGCACTTTACATCCTTTCTTTTCATTATATTGTGATTACTTGTCTACAACCTGGAGAATCAAGTGTACTGTTATGGTAGAGAAAAGAACATAAAATATATAGCTTTACTGAAAGAAAAACGTTTGATATATACTTAGGAGGTTTCAGAGGTTACACAAATGAATTTTAAATTTTTTTCAGATGAGGAATAGTGTTTTTAATCATAAAAACAAAATCTCTTTGTATCAGATAGTCAACTATTTACAAGTGCAAAAAATCATGATCAAATTGACAAACAAACCTTTAGTTCTTGTGTACAAAAACCTTGTAATGTTTCTGATAGTCTGCAAAATTTCATGAAGATATGCATACATTATCAAAGGTTATAGTATGGCAAATGTCATGGTTACTTTGTTGGTTATGCATTAGGCTCTTTGAGAATATCCCATAACCATAGGGTTAATTAAATTTTGAAAGTAACTGTGTTAAAGGTTGTGACATGCACGTTTTGACCTACCTGTAGCAATAGGGCTAATATCTGAACATCCAGCAGAAACAGTGTATGATTTATTGTTATCTATTTATCTCCAGATAAAATCAACTTTCCTTCTTCAACAAAAACTATGATCATCATCACCATCACCAGGATTCTAATATAACTATAAATACACTAACTAATAACATATAATTATACTGTTATTATTGTTACTATATTGCAATATTTAATTTTTATCCTCTTGCTAGTTGTTGTTATTGCACTCTCTCAAATAATCTAACATGCTGTTCTTCACCTAAGTAACAAAAATATTCTGAATCTTGGAAACTTATAACACTACATCCATTAATCTTCGAAACATTGAAGGAGTGTTACAGAAACCAAACTGCATTCTGTTGAACTGATACTTTCCTGATGGTAGTATGAACACAGCCTCAGCTTTATCTTCTTTCTTAATCTCAGCTTGCCAGTAGCCAGTCCATAGACGAAAAAGACTTACTTTGGCTTAACCTGTCTAATGTCTCTTGTATATCAGGAAATGGATACACATCCATGAAAGTTACCTGATTTGCCTTGCAAACATCACACAAAACCTTAAAATACCATCATTTTTAGGAACTAGTATGACTGCAGGTGTATAAGGACTACTTCTGTCTTCTATTACTCCCTGCTCAAGCATGTCTTTCATGCATGCTTTTAACCCTATTAACATGGGCCAAAGGCCATGTCATCATGTTTGTTGACTCTCATTCAACATTTTATGAATGTATATCAATAAGTTTGTTATTAAATTGTATATCATAATACATATTTTAGTTTTATACATTAGTTAATTTCTTAATTTAAAAATAATTATTAAAAAGGAAACCCTAAATATCTCTTTTTGTGTATCATGTGGTATGTTGAATGCAGCATTGGTTCAAACTAGATGTTTGTGATGTCCAAATACAAAGCCTATAGTTTCTTAGGAATTATGTACTCAAATTACTGATATTTACAAGCTAGAATGTAAAATAAGAACCTTCTATCTTTTCTATTTTCTGAGATATTGATATATTCATTGAATCAATCATGGTGACCCTGCCCACATCTTCAATTCTTGAAAATACCTGCTTTCATACCCTACTTCACCCAATGACATGTGTATAACCAATCAATGTCCTCCTAGTGGCTTTCTCAGCCTCTTTAAAGTATTTGGACAGCAAACTCTTTCTTTGCATGCTAGATACCAACCATAAGGTAAGACATTAGTGAGCTCGAAATTTCTTTTTTTTTAGACCTAAATACAGCTTAGTTACTAAACTTGATAAAGTATAGTGGAATTCTATGGTATTGATATAGTAAACTATGATCTTTGGTTATTTCAAAGTGTATATAAAGCTTATTTCGTTTCACATCCTCCACGTGTGAAATTTGATAAGGCTTAGCAACCTATGGCAAGCAGCAAATGAGTATAAAGATAGTAACTAGAAGAGATGATTGATTGCCGTACTTGTTTATTTACTGTTTTATGTTTTAAGAAAAATAAGTTCAAGAACTTACTTGTAAGTAGTGATAATCTATATACATTTGTATTATAACTGAAATGTGA